TCTCTCTCTCTCTCTCTGTCTGTCTATCTATCTATGTATCTATCTATATCTCACATTCTGGAGAATTCTCAATTCTTGCCCTTTTTTCCTTCTTCCCTATTTCTCCCATCTAAAGAAGGATTTATTTGACTGAAGGGTTTATTTGATACCATATTGCAGAGAATCTTAATTCTTCTCAGTCTGTTCTCAACATCCTGGCACAAGATCCCCTTTCTGTCAGGAATGTTTTTAGATGAAGTGTTGAGTGAAGCGTTAGTCACTCTAAATGCTTTATACAGGATGACTTCTTGTGGACTCTAAGAAAGCCATAACACTTAATTTAAGTAGTTTAATATTAGCAACTGTGGAGTCTAAACATGATCCTTTTTCAGATACCAATAAAGGACTGTCCAATGATTAAATCAGGAAAATTTTTGTGAAAGATGGCCTCATCTGTCTGTAGCCATAAGTCACTTTTTTCGGTGCTATTGTAACTTTGAACCGTCACTAAACAAAATTCTTGTAAATCAAGGACTATCTTGGTTGGAGGTTACTTTTTGCGTCTGAAAGCAAGAAAAGCATTAAAATTAGAAGTTGCATACTAGATTTAATTCTGCTTGCTGTAAGCCGATAATGAACCCATTGAATTAAGTCAAAATTGACATTGTTTTGGCAATTATTCTTTACTAAAATAGGCCTTCACCTCACTGATGATAGTTGTTGTTTCGCCATCACTACAAAATCCTGTTCTTGAAATGGCAACTGGAGGACACCTCTTCCCAATAACCTGCTCTTGTGAGATAGATAAACATGAGGTATTTCCCCCAGGTCGGGGTGTTCTAAAACCTTTTAAAAGAGCTTGTAAAATCTCAGAATAATCGAATATAATATTCAGTTAAAATAGTGTGCAATAAAAATAGTTTTTTTTTAAAGACAAGAGAAGTAAAACAAGATGGTAAATTATTATAACTATGTGCAGATGACCAAAAAGATACCAGTGTGGTCTTCTTGAAAGGGACTGAGAGACAAATTGATGCAGGTATTCCACATTATTGTTGTGCATTTCTATTTTCCTCATGATGGGTGAAATCTTATCATGCTGTTACCTCATGTTTTCACTTTCGCTGTTTTCACCTTGATGGTTTGGGGTGTTTTCACTGGTTTCACTTCGATGCGAAAGCTGATTGTTAAAAGCTGAACTAGCACGCTGTTTACTCATGTGTAAAGCTGCCTTATCTGGCTGCTAAATTCTGGTCAAAAACCAGGGCAAAGCAAGAGACACAACACCATTATTATTATTTGCTTCTATCTAGTGATCTACAGATCTTGCAGCCTAAATTTTAATAGATCTGCTTAGGTGAAAATCCTCTGTATCATTAGGATCTGTCCTAGCGGATTTAACCATGTGAGTCATCGGTTGATGGTTCTTCAAGGCATTCAGAATAAGTACTCTTAATTGATTTCATGTAAAGTTGCATATGTAAAACCTAAGTTAAGACTTTTATATTTGATTTTGATTTACTGATTTGCCCTTTCCATGCAAATCAGGAACCTTAAACCCAAAGCAAATCCTCATATTGGGGCAGAAGTGATAGGTAGTCCTTGACTTACAACCATTCATTTAATAACTATTCAAAGTTACAACGTCATTGAAAAAAGTTGACGCATGACTGGTCATTTGCACTTAGGACTGACTATTCCAGCAATCCCAGGTGATCAAAATTGGGTGCTGGGCAACCCAAGTCACAAAAGATGATCACATGGCCCTGGGTCACTGTAACCGTCATAAATACGAGTCAGGTGCCAAGCATCCAAATTTTGATCATATGATCATGGGGGAAGCAGCAACGGTCGTGTGAAAAACGGTCCTAAGTCGCTTTTTTCAGTGCCGTTGAAACTTTAAGCAGTCACTAAACCAATTGTTGTAAGTCGAGGACTATCTGTGAATAGTTGAAGTAAGCCGTTATATATTGGGCCTGCGAGTTTTAACGTTCTGTGCCATTTTGGGTCTCCGAATTTCTGTCCCTACTTTAAAGAAAAAGTATTGGCGTGCATAGAGCGAGAGAGGAAGACTGCGGACCTTCCCCAGTGTTTTAAATCTGTTGCATGTGTGAGACATTGTGCACGATGGGGGTTACAAGTGATAAAAATAGCTGAAGGGTGCAAAGTGAAAGGCAGACTCAGGTGTCCGGGGAGAGGGGAAATGGCAAGGTGTGGGATGGAGCAACATTGTATAAGCCCCACCCCTTTTGTACAAATGACATCACACAACTTCCGAAGAGGAGAAGCCTAAATTCCAATATTCCATTCAGCACTTTGTCTTTTCTCTCTCTCTTTCTCCTTCACTCCTTCCTTCCTTCCTTCTTTTCTTCCTTCCTTTCTTCCCTCCCTCCTTCCCTCCCTCTCTCTCACATACACACCCTCTTTGTAGCTGCTCTCTTCTTGGTACACATTGCTGCTTAAGGAATACTTAGCTGAAGATTTTTGAGTTTCATTCTCATTAATTTACCCGTTGTTATGAGGTGGTATTATTACCCAAACTACCTCAATGAGGCCTAGATCCTTGGTTAAGGGAAGTCTCCAACCAAAGCATTTATTTGCCAGCCATTTCCCCCTTCGTTAAAGTTTTAATTATAAAATAGCTGTTTCCTTAGACCGCTGAAATGCCACACATTGAGAAAGTCTACAGTATTTCACAAGTAACTCAATTTCCTGTATGTTCCATTGTTTTCAGTTTGATTAAGTGCATCCTGTTCAACTGTATATTCCTGTTCAGGGTTATACTTAACTCCGATAAAAAGGAGATTGTGGAATGTCACAGGCATAAAAGAAAAGTTTCCATATCTGTGAAAGAAGGAATGCAATTATCGGAAAAATCATTTTCGGTTGTTTAAAAATAGGCCGTTCTAAAGTATGTCTTTCAAATTTACGTAGCCATATTGACCAAGTGCCAGTGGCTTTGGCTGGGCACAGCGATAGATAAATCAACTTCTAATTTATATATTATTCCTGGCCTCGGCTTTAAAAGATTACGCTTTCCAATGATTTGATGGGGAAGCATATTTGGAATAGGCCAGAGAGTAAGTTGACCATACTTTAACATATAGGGAGAAGAGGCAATTCTCACAGAAACACAGTCAGTCTTCGATTTATGACCACAATTGAGCCCCGCAATTTCCATCGTTAGGTGAATTTTGACCTCTTTTAACGACCTTTCTTGCCACAATTGTTAAGTGAATCATAACAGTTGTTAACTTAGTAACATGGTTGTTAAGTAAATCTGGTTTCCCCGTTAACTCTGCTTGTCAGAAGGTTGTTGCAAAAAGGGATCGCTTGATCCCAGCAACTGTCATATATACGAGTCAGGTGCCAAGCGGTTGAATTTTGATCACGTGACCACGGGCAGGTTGCAATAGTCGTGCAAAACAACGGTCAGCGTTCACTTTTTTTTTTCAGTGCCATTGTAAACTTCAAACGGACCCTAAATGAATGATTGTAATTTGAGGACTACCTTGTATTGAGAAAAGAGAAATTGTTTTTTAAGTATGAAACATCTTTGGGAATAGGCTCTCTCTCCTTTCAGCCATCTAGGTTGGCTGAGTTTCTCAGTTGAGAAGACCATTGGAGTAGCCATGAAAAATTCCTTCCGGATTTCTCAGCTTCGGTTCAGCAAAATGGAATTCGGCCGCCCGGGGTTGACTCAAGAAAACAAAACCAGTTGAACCGAAGAAAGGGGTTGTGCATTGGGAGGGAGGATGACTTTCAGCCAGTCTATAATCTTCGTCTCTTTGACTAACGATGGAGCAGACGTGGTGCTGAAGATCGAGGGTGGATGTTGCATGAAACATAGGCCTGAGCAGACAATTAGTAATCGCTTCCTTGTAAACCCTATGGAATGTGCTTCATTTAGCTATGTTGGGCTGTATTGGGCTTTAAAGTATTAGGGGGCAGTATGTCACGTCATACTTATTTCTTGCATTCGTTTTTGTCTTGCAGCGAGTTGTCCAGAGCCTGTGCCTTCTTCCACCGAAACGAGGGGAACTAATTTTCTGGCCCCTGAGGGGCTCGCAGGTAAGACTCAAGATCTCTTCGGTACCCTTCTGTTGTTATATGTTTGTTTTTTTTTCTAACAAAGGAGGTTGGACCTCTGGAGCAGTGTCCCTAAGCTTGGCAACTTTAACATAGGTGGACTTCCAATTCCCAGCATTCCCCAGCCTGCTGGCTGGAGAATTCTGGGAGTTGAAGTCCAATTATCTTAAAGTTGGTAAGATGGGGAAATGCTACTCTAGAGCAGTGTTTCTTAACTGTGTTGGCTTTAGGATGGGGGGACTTCAACCTCCTAGCTGGCTGGGGAGTTCTGGGAGTTGTACTCCATGCATCTTAAAAGTAGACTTTTAAAAGTTGAGAAACATTCATCTTGTTGGCTGTTTGCCATCTAGTTGTGAATCTGTGTTGTAAGCAGCATCCTGGTGTAACCTCTGTTGCCTGATACAATAGACCTAATGCTTTTCCAGGAATGAAAATCTTAGCAGGAGTTTTCCTTTGGGGGGTGGTTTAGAAATTTTGGAAGTGATTGTACCATCTGTAGACATCAGGGCTTGGACAGCTGTTGTATGTTCACCAGTGTTGGGAATGAAGAGAAAGTCGAGCTAATGAAGTGTGTGAGCGCACTGATGGATCTCATCAATGAGCAGATGTGGAATGGAATTGTTGTGCAGAATTTCCTCTGTTTTTCAAACATAAATCAAGCCTGCTTTTTGCTTGTGATTTGAAATCCTCTGTTGCATATTCATGAAAGGTTGCAAATAGGTCACCGTGATTTTGCCTTTCTGCAAGAAGTCTCGTTCCCCCCACAGGCCCGTATCTGAAAAACTTCCAGTTTTTAAGAACGTGTATGAAAATCTAGCCTCAAGAGAATAGTTACCTTGGATGTTCCAGATTTTGATTATTTCTGAGCGTTTTTAAATGTGTTGCACTTTAGTTATACAGGCCAGGAACACGGGTGAGTTTTCTGTAGCGTGGTCTGTCTATCTTTCAAATTTTGTTTCATACTTCCCGGCGTCCTTAGCAAAAATAGCCATTTATGGGAATGCTGGGAACTGTAGTTCAGCAATATCTGGCTGGCCTCAGGTTGCAGGGCTGTAAGACCGAGTTTTACCAGCTGTGGAATTAAGTTGGTCATATATCACATTTCTGGTCTTACCAGCTTCTCTATCTGTCCTCCCTTGTTGAGAGCTGTATGTGAGCCCAGACAAAGATGCTGGCAGGCTGGCAGTACCACAGTTAGCTGAAGGCAAACGTCTGCCTATGTGATTTATGCACAGAGAGCTAAATTATATACTGTCCACTGTTAAAGGGTGTGCCAGAGCAGGCTCCTGCTTTTTGCAAGTTTGCAAGTTGAGGCTGGCTTCTGGTGATTAAGGTTTGGGTGTAAGTCGTTTTGGTGGCTTGAAATTTAATCTGGGAATGGTGGATTTCTGGAGGAGGAGAAGGTGGAAAAAGAACATTTTAAGATTAGCCCCCCCCCCCCCCCAGGAGCACCATACTGGCTGGGGGGAATGCTGGGAGCTGAAGTCCACCTCTCTTAAGGTTGAGAAAGCAATATTCTAGAGGAAGTCTTGAGTAAGCAACCCCCATCCCACGGAAGGCACTGTAGTTTCTCCCATTTTTTTTCTCGGTGATGCAGCGTGCAAACCCTTAATGGCTTTTTTTTTTTTTTTGCTTAATGCCCCAAAAATACTCGCCTGGACTTGCGTGCACCTATTGAAAGTTAGTTTTCTTTGGCCAAGGAATCCTAGTTGGATTTATAGAAGAGCCGTACTCCCATTCATTAGTCTACAACTGGAATGTGGAAAGACCATCCTTCCCCCCCCCCCTCCCCACTTCTCCCCTCCCCCCTCTCCAGTAAGTGTGCTTCCATATTTGTGTGTCTGTTTGTCTGTGTGGGCTTTGCAACCTTAAGAATGGCTTTCGGGCGTGAGTTGTGCTTACGCGCATCTTGTTTGCTGTTCTTTTCTCTTCCTAATGTAATCTATACCCTCGCCGTGTTATTTGAGAGGATTCTGTGTTTTCAGAGGCAGCTAGTAAGAATTAATCAGAAGGAAAAGCGGAAAAAAAAGAGAAGTAAGGATTTTCTCCCCACCCTGCTTTAAAAAAAACACGTATTCTCTTTCAACCTTATTGAAACAGAGCCGCGTAGAAGAAAGTTAAGGGAAAGAAGAAGAAGAAGAAGAAGAAAAAGGCTTTACCGAAAAAAGAAGAATTAGGCTCTACAATAAGAATGCGAAAGAGTAGGAAAGGAGATGGGAAAAGAAAAAAGAAAGAGAAATATGCCAGAGGGTGGGGTTCAGTTCCGCAGGATACCACATGAAATAAGCAAACGAAGACTAGCTTTTAAAAGGAACCTCTTTTTTAAAAGGTTTGTGAATTGATAACATCTCAGATTGTCTGGTCTGCCACTGTAAAGGAAGGGTGGGGATTTGGGGGGCAGGCAGGAAATCACATTGCTCGCCTGGTTAGCAGAATGCTTTCTTAAGAGAGAAGTCTTAGATAACTTTCCAGGGAGGAAAAAAATAATAAAAAAAGATGTTTTCTGTGAAAGTTTTCATCCTTGCAATGGTTGATCTCCTCTCTCTTACTCCGTATTGTCTCTGTCAGTTTGGCCAGTTTCCCTTGGAGAGAACCTAGATGAACCCAACCCAGCCTCATACGGTTAATGATAATTTTGCAAGTACGTTTAAGGAAGAGGAAGGATTGCTTTAGCGGACAAAGGAAAAGAATTCTGATAAATCTGGAACAATTTTTGAAAGTTTTCCCTAGCTAGAAAGACAAGTAGAAGCATTTGCAATGGAGGTTCTCTGTTTTAAAATGTGGATCTGTGATCACACCGCCCAAAATTCGACATAGGAGTTCTTTAAAGTGCTAAATGTTCATTTTGACTCCTGACTTTCTTCCTTCCTTCCTTCCTTCCTTCCTTCCTTCCTTCCCCCTTTCTTCCTTCCTTCTTCCTCCCTCTTTCTTTCTTTCTTTCTTTCTTTCTTTCTTTCTTTCTTTCTTTCTTTCTTTCTTTCTTTCTTTCTTTCTTTCTTTCTTTCTTTCTTTTTTGTCTTTGAACCCTTGAGATAGCTTGCTGGAAAGTGTATTTGAACAGGGTTTTTTTTTAATGAGCAGTTATCAGACATCTGGGCTACTTTTTATCTGCAATGAAAAGTTGTAATAACTTACTGAAGTTTAAATAGGGGATGGTTTACAGAAAAGTAAACATTCCTCTCCCTTTTTTTTCCCCTTTCCCCTGCTTCCCTCCCTCCTTTCCCATGTTTTTGAAGTGGGTAGAAGCTGCCTTTTCTGAATTGGCCGCGTTCTGAATTGCAACCAGATCTCTGACAAAGGATCCATGGTTGCCTTTGCTACAGATGCCTACCTGGGAATTAAAAAGACATCTTGTTTCCGCTGTAAGTCAGATTCACTGTCTTCACCAACAATCTCTTAGATCAGGGGTCTCCAACCGTGGCAACTTTAAGACTTGTGGACTTCAACTCCCAGAGTTCCTCAGTTAGTTTTGCTGGCTGGAGGATTCTGCGAGTTGAAGTCCACAAGTCTTAAAGTTGCCACGGTTGGAGACCCCTGCCTTAGATGGCTTTCCGGAATAGTCCTGCACCTTTTTTGAGGATTACGGCTTGTAGACTATCTACAGTTGGAGTATGAGGGCTTGTAGATTCAAAGAAAAGCTGGTGTTTTTTGGATGAAAGATAGATGATAGAGAGAGATGGATGGATGGATGGATAGATAGATAGATAGATAGATAGATAGATAGATAGATAGATAGATAGAGTTAGATAGATAGAGTTAGAGATAGATAAAGTTAGATAGAGTTAGAGAGTTAGAGATAGATAAATAGAGATAGATAGATAGATAGATAGATAGATAGATAGATAGATAGATAGATAGACAGACAGACAGACAGACAGACAGACAGACACCTTTTATTGTCATTTTTTATTGTCGGCACACTGGCACACATTAAAAATGAATTTCTGATGCCTGTTCTCAAAAGTGTACACATACATAACACACATATACCCATGCTATATACATTCATATATATCGTGTGTGTGTGTATACACACACACACACACACACACACACACACACCTACTCCCATACATACATAAATACATACATATTTATCATTGTCCATCTTCAATACATATCGGAAAGAGGAAGCTTGAGAGGAAGAAGAAGAAGAAGAGTTTTGCTCTGTTTTATGGGGCTGAGCGGATTCTCTGGGAAGTTGATGTCCAGAGGGTGTGTGGGTGGGTGATCTGCTTTAGAAGGACAAGCAAAAGAGACCGGCTGCTTTTGAAAATAGCCAGCCTGACCTCGTCCTTCACTCATTCATTAGTTCACTGTTGTTTTCCATCCTGGCTTGGTTGGAGAAGCTGTGGAGTTCCAGCTAATGGGCTATAAGCTCAGCTCAGGATGGGAGGTCCTTTCAATAGGAGAAAAGAAAAGGCGCCTGCAGGATCCAGAAAATAGACAGATAGTCCTCGACTTACGACCACCATTGAGCCCAATTTTTTTTGTTGCTAAGCGAGACATTTGTGGAGTGAATTTTGCTCCCTTTTACGACCTTTCTTTGCCACCATTGTTAAGTGCATCAGTTCAGTCGTTCAACTACTAACACGGGTTGTTAAGGGGATCTGGTTTTCCCACTGACTTCGCTGGTCACAAAAAGTGACCTCCGGGACACTGCAACCGTCATAAAGGAGAGTCAGTCTGAATTTTGATCGTGTGACCGCGGGGGAAGCTGCAACGGTTGTAAGTGTGAGACACGCTCGTGCCACTTCCCCCCCCCCCTCCCCAGTGCCGTCGTGACTTCGAATGGCCGCTAAAGGAACTGTTGCACCTCGACGACTGTTGCACTCTCACGAGAACTTTAATCCTGGCGTGGGGTGGGGTCTTCACAAAGGGCCGGTTCCAGCAGCCATGACCTTTAATTCACTCCCCGACGCTCTTTCATGTCATCTGGGGCACTTGGAAAAATAAACGGGGAAGGAAATAGGTGGGAGGAG